AGCCCATAATTTCTCTTTCTTATAATACAATAATTTTCTACAATAAACTCCTTTCCCTTAATGGAGTGGTTTTCAGCAGTTTCTTTATTGAGTTCCTATGCATACAATAACTATTACTATACTCCCAATTTGCATGAAGTAAGCTTTTTAGGTTCCCCATGTAAATGAGACACAGGGACTTAACATTTAACTTGATGGCGAATCATGTGCCTACCATGTAATAAGTGCTGGTTTAGTCCATCATAAAAAGAAGAAAAAAAAAAAAAAGCTTAACTACAGGACTTGCCAGAAACTATCTGGCTCATTTCACTTAATACACTTGATCCAATGTCATCAAGTTCTACCAAATATTAAGATTTTGTGTGAGCCGGGCGTTGGTGGTGCACACTTTTAATCCCAGCACTCGGGAGGCAGAGGCAGGCAGATCTATGTGAGTTTGAGGCCAGCCTGGTCTCCAGAGCGAGTGCCAGGATAGGCTCCAAAGATACACAGAGAAACCCTATCTCAAAACCGCCCCCCCCCAAAAAAAAAAAGTTGTGTTTTTGCTCTTTGGGCTTTTTGGTTGCCCACCACCCAGCTCCCAAACAAATCACACATAGTCTTATCCTTAGTTATGAATACCTGGCCTTAGCTTGGTTTGTTGCTAGTCAGCTTTTCTTTCTTTTTTTTTTTTTTCAAGACTGGGTTTCTCTGTGCAGCTTTGGAGCCTATCCAGGCACTCGCTCTGTAGACCAGGCTGACTTCACAGAGCTCTCCCCCTGCCTCTGCCTCCTGAGTGCTGGGATTAAAGACATGTGCCACCAATGCCCTGCTTCAATTACCACACTCACTACCAGTCAGGCTTATCCTGATTGTCAAGGAAACATTTGCTGCCTTCCCTCATTCAGGATGATGCTCTTGTAGATTTGTCAGCAATGGTGTTTCTTGGGTACTTTTTGGTTGTTTTGTGTAGCTCTGGAGCCTGTCCTGGAACTCACTCTGTAGTCTGGCCTTGAACTCAAGAGATCCTCCTGCCTCTGCCTTCCCAATGCTGGGATGCTGGATCCTCTATGTCATCAAGAAAATGTCCTACAGACTTACCTATAGGCCAATCGTACGGAAGCATTTTCTCAGTTAAGATTCCCTCTAAGATCAGAATGGTGGCTCATGCTTACAAAATCCCAATACTTAGAAACTTTTTGTTTTGTTTTTAGAGATAGGGTTTCTCTGTGGCTTTGGGGGCTGTCCTGGAACTATTTCTTGTAGACCAGGCTGGTCTCCAACTCAGAGATCTGCCTGCCTCTGCCTCCCAATTGCTGGGACCAAAGGCATGGGTCACCATCGCCTGGCTAATACTTAGAAACTTAAATTAAGTTTTAGGGCAATTTGGGCTACACAGCGAGACAGTCTTTAAAAAAGAAAAAAGAAAAGAAAAAGAAACACGAATCAGGTAAGTGCTCTAATTCCCACTGGGCAACTGAAGAAAAAAGTCAAGAAACAGCCAGAAGCTTAAATATACACTGCAAGTAGCAAGCTTTTAAGACCTTAGTCAGTTCAGAGGACACTTGACTGGGAAACCAAGTGCTGTGCAGATTAGGTTTCTGGCAACAGAACTAATTTTAGAAAGCACCAAATGGTAGATTTGTACTTACTATATTTTGAGATTATCTGGAAGCCTGATACAAGGCATGGGCAACTGAATCCCAGTTGGCTAAAGTTAAATTAAATTAAATTCTGCTCTCAACCTGTAAAAAACAGTCTGAAACAAATACATTTTATATTGTTATATGAACATTAAAACAAAGTTTTTTTTGTTTTTGTTTTTGTTTTTTGTTTTTTTTTGAGACAGGGTTTCTCTGTGGCTTTGGAGGATTTCTTGGAACAGGGTGGTCTTGAACTCAAGAAATCTGCTTGCCTCTGCCTCCCAAGTAATGGGATCAAAGGTGTGTGCCACCTGCACCCAGCACATTAAAACATTCAAGTTTTTTAAGGTTTATTTTTAGACTTTAGTGAGTTCTCAGGTAGTTCCTTAACAGGCTAACTCTAGGTCCCTGATGACTAGTATTAGCCCTTCTTTTGTTCTCTGCATAGCACTTGCTGTCCTGGAACTAGCACTAGCTCTGTAGTCCTTGAACTCACAGAGATGGCACCTGCTTCTCTGCCTCCCAAATGCTGGGATTAAAGGTGTTATTAGCCTTATATTAAAAAGAATTACCCAGCTGGGTGCCTTTAATCCTAGTATTTAGGAGGCAGAGGCAGGTGGATCTCTGTGAGTTTGAGACCAGCCTAGTTTACAAGAGCTAGTTCCAGGACAGCCTCCAAAGCTACAGAGAAACCCTGTCTCAACCCTCCCCCTCCAAAAAAAAAAAAAAAACAAAGAATTACACAGTCAACGTCTGTAAATTATAAGACTAGTCTTTCTTGCTTATTGAAAAAAATGCCATCCAGTGTGTATTAAAAGGTCTGAATTAAAATTAGTTTGTAGAAGATTTAGTTCCACTAAAATGCCTTTTTGGATTTGTTTCTCATTCAGGTATGAATCCTTCAGCCAATGATGGCAGGATGGAGATGGTTCAGTGGTTAAAAGTGCTTACTTTTCTTTCAGAAGACCCAAGTTCCGTTGCTAGCACCCACGTAGGCAAGTTCAAACGCCTCTAATCCCAGATCTAGATCTGACGTACTCGTCTAGTTTAACAGGGCAATTGCATTCATGTGCACTCATCACCCAACCGCCATCCCATACACACATCCCTCCAATGTCTTCAAATTTTACTTTCTATAGTTTCAACCCTACTGTTCAGACATTGTAGTAATGTGCTCAACATTCAGCCTTATCTATTCCACTCTTCATCCACTAATGCCAACACCCCCAATTTATCACAAGGAGGTTCTAAACCACACTAAACTTTATGCACATACTTGAATTGGTTTTGACTCAATTTGTTCAATCCTTTGATAGAAAATCTGTCCATGGTGGCTCATGCCTATAATCCCTACCCTTGAGAGGCAGGATTGCCACAGGAGGAAAGCCAGCTTGGTTCTGAATGAGTTATAAGTTAGCCAGGTCTACATAATGAGATCCTCTTCCAAATTGATCAACAAAGTTTCTAATTTCTGTAAATTTGCTTCCCCCCTTTCCTTTTTAATACAGGTTTTTTGTATGGAGCCTTGGCCGGCCTTTAATTTACAGAGACCCACCTGCTTCTGCTTGTTAGATTAAAAGCTGTGCTTTTGATTCTTTTTTTTTTTTTTTTTTTTTTTTTTTTGTGTGTGTGTGTGTGTGTCTTATATCACTGTTGACAAAGAGAATAGTGAAATTGTTTATCTTTGGGCTCCTCATGCACAGAAATTTAGACCAACTAACTGAATATATCAGAAGACCCATTAGAAGGCAAGGAAATCAACGGAAGAACTGCATAAAGAGGTGAGAGAGCTCCAAACATCATCTCACAACCCTACCTTGCATTTAACTGTTTGCCAGCGTGGATGAAAGGGCAATGCGCTTTAAGTCCCTACCTCCTCCCTGACAGGGCTTCTCTGTATAGCCTTGGCTGTCCTGCAACTCCACAACAGGCTGGCTTTGGAACTCAGAGATCCACCTGCCTCTGCTTCGATTAAAGGCATGTGGTACACTTTTTAAAATAATTTACTGTACAGTACTATTAGTACTTGACCCTGTTCTGAACCTGAGACCTATCCGTTAATGAAACAATGATTTTAAATACCTCAAAAGGTAATGACAATTTATAAAGCCTATTAAAACAAAGATTCAAGCAGAAAGCAAAGAACTAGGGAACCAACAAAAACTCAAAATATTGCCCCATCCACGTTATCCATGACTAATCATGAAGTGCATCTTTGAGGGTCCCACTGTTGTCTGTTGGCCCCAAACTGGCTCAAAGTGATCTTCCTGCATTTAACTCCTGAGATATATTCCTTTTGTACTTTACATGGAAATCAGTAACCTGTAACACAGCAAAGCAGTACTAGGGAACAAAGTTTGTAACAATCAACATGTATAAGTCACTGAGCTCAAGTCCCAGCACTACATACAACATCCAGGCAAGGGAGACCATGCCTTTAGTCCCAGAGGCAGGTGGATCCCTGAGTTAAGATAGCCTGGTTCTACACAGGGTTCCACAACAGCCAGGGCCTGTCTCAGAAAAAAAAAAAAATCTCTTTAACTCCCCATGGGAAGCCTTATCCTGAGGGGAATAGTTGGAAGGTGGGGAGAACAGGAGGGGAGTGGGAACTGGGATTAGAATGTAAAATGAGAAAATACTTTAAAATTTAAGCTGATTCAAAAATAGAAGTCATCTGACAGGATCCAGTATTGATAACAAAGGCCAGATAATACGCCAGCAGCCGACACTGAGGAAATAGGACCCACTCCTTGCAAAAAGTCTTCCAGGAACCAGGCAAGAGGGCTTCTGAATTCTAAGCTGCCATTGTTAGCAGGTCTTATACAAGACCCCTCAAATTGCTAAGCGTTTTCAATGGTTTATAGGTTGGAAATAATTCCACCCAAACAGCATAGCACTGGCTTGAGGCATATAGGCCAATGGTACAGAAGAACCCAGAAACTGCACATTCACACAGCCTTCTTTCCCAATAAAGATTCACTGTGTGGAAGGAAAATTGGACATCTCCTGGAAGGGTGGAGAAAACGTAGATTTTGCCCACATAAAAATTAAGATAGCTCACTTAAGCATCAATACCTTGAATCAATATTCATGTTAACTATTTTAGGACACAGGGCTGAGAAGACATTTTGGATTAGACCCTTCTCAAAGCACAAACCCATGAAACCAAAAACCAGTTGACCACAATGTTTTTCTCAAATGTGTTGTATGCCCTCAATCCCAGCACTTGCAAGGCTAGATTTCTTGTGCTCAATAGCGCTATTTGTTGTTGAATCTGTTGGGATAGCTCACCTACCTTGAAGACAAAATACCATGTAACTATTAAGGGGGCAGTCAGTTTCTGTTGACCCACCAAGAAAAAGAACTGAAGAAATGGTTGTTGCAAATGAACATTTATTTCAGCAGTCAGTGAGCACTGCTGGACAAAGAATGTGGCTTACAATGGGACTTTAGTCACAAAAGTCACCCAGAATTTTCATGATGGCAATTATTGAGTTAGACCAGGGAAGAAAATGAACAGAGCTGGCAATGACTTGTGATCAACACTGTCACACATGTGCTGATCAGATAATCCACTAAACACACACCAGTCTCAACTCCCGGCCTACACTGAATTCTGTACACTAGACATTTGCCATAATCCTAATGGCTCACTACAAACCCAGCTTTAATTCCATCCACATTCAAACACTAGAAGACTAAGTGCCTCCAAACATTAATTGCATTCAATTCAACCAACTTTCTGTAAGCACATTATCTCGTGCTCTATTCATATCTATCATAGCCGTTGGCACACAATCCCAGCACTTGAGCAAGGACAGGTGCGTTTGAAGACAGTCAATACTGCACTTTCTCATCTTGTCTTTTCTGGACGGTCATAACATCCAATTCTCACTTGTGTCACTGGCCCTAGAAAACAAACACAGGGATTACAAAACTACCAACACAAAAATGAAAACAAAAAACCCCACAACAATGCCTTTTTAATGGTCCGTCTCAGAAGCCAGATCCGTAATTTTGTATTTCAACAGGAATTCAGGTTCGGGATAGGGTCATCATAGATCAGACCAAAGACAGTATGTTCATGTTCAACAACAACAAAAAACTGCACTCACATGCATTCCCAGGAGCTCTAGTAACTGTACAGGGAGCTGGCATTTCACTCACTGGCATTCGCTGCTAACAGAAAAAAAAAGCACTATGAAGTATTTTGTAGTTATCTACTTAAAGCACACTATACAACTGAGAATACTTCCATTTACTTCTCCATACTTGAAAGTAATCTGATTGTTTAGATCAATTATGCCTTACAATGGTTCAATCAACTCTATAGCCATTCCAAATTAAAAGGCAAGCTTACAACAAATCGTATATTAATGTTAAGTTTATAAATGAAACGGTTGGCCAATATCAGTTTCTACACTTTATATTTTACCATGTAGACGTAACGCTTTGTATGCTCACAAATTAAAACCTACCCTTGATACACACCTTTTAAAAACAGTCAGGTCTTAAGCAAGTTATCTCCTGTTATGAATTCACTGGGGTGGTTTGGCCCTCTGTCCTCCATCTAATTAAAGAAACAAAACTTTAAGCACCACAGCAGCCTCTACTCGTTCAATTAGAAAACGAAGTTGCATCACCCTCACCTGGGCATTTCTTTGCAACTGCTTCGAAGACCCAGAAAACGATGGCGTCATTGTTCCTGTGAAAGGAGTAATGCGTTATCAGTCGTCTCTTGGGCGACACTAGCACCTTCTGAACAGCACGAAACTAAAAAAAAAAAAAAAAACCTTCCTCTGCCCAAGTCTTTTTGGAACAGAACTCACCCACGCCGGGAAATAGGAACTAGACCCCTTAGGCCATCAGCCAGGCCACCAAGCTCCAATCTCCTTGGGCCTACGCGCCAATCCTGCAATCCCATAGCAGATGCGCATTTCCCCAAGTAAATTTTCAACCGCACTCTAACCTCAAACCTCCGAGGCTGTCCCACAAAACAGAAGCGTCCCATTTTACTTTGCTCCACCGTATTTCGCTTGGTCATAACCCCCTCCCCCACAATCCGCCCTCTCACTTACAGACATAGGAAAAACCTCAGCTTCCCGACGTAAAAGAACGAGCCACGCAGCCTGCAGCTCCCTTTATAGCCTGCGTGGAGCGAGACCGAGGCTGCCCCTCCCTCTCGCCCCTATTGGATGTGAAGCCATGTGGGGGCGTGGCCTTTCCCTGGGGAACGCGTGGGAGCGCGCCTCTTTTCTTCCGGGCCATCATGGGGTGTGGTGCGCGCCCCCCCAGCTCGCCGCGTGCTCGTCCTTTGCGCGCGTCGCCGTCGGCACGTTGCCACCCGTCTCTTCCGAGTATGTCCGGCCGCTCGGCTCTACGTGGCGTGGGAGTGGCGCCAGAATTCAAACGAACAGCCGCAGTTGTAGGCGAGGTCACCGCCTGCTTTGAGCCAAGTCGGCTAGGACTCTCCGTGGCTGGGAGCGGCCTTTACGCGCGGCCCGTGGAGGAGCCTGGCTGGCCCGGTGGCCGGTGCTGCGCTTGGTCCGCGGCGGCGCAGCTGAATGGACGTCGGCGGACAGTACTAAGACGGTGAAAACCGGAAAGCCCTACGTTTATCCTTCGTGCACCCTGCGGGTACCGTATGTCAGCAGAAGGCCACGCTGTCGCGTTCACGCCACCCAACTCCTGTTCAGGCACCCAGCCAGGTCCAGTCCCCCTCACCCCCCCATTACAGTGTCACTAGTGACAGTTATTCGCTGACAATCTTGGGAAGATACACACTCCATTTCACAGAAAGGAGGAAGCAGGTCAAAAGCCTCCAGTTGGCCTAAGGTCACACAGCTAGCTATCCTTGGCTATTTTCAAGTTTTCTTTCTACTAAATAAAAAAAATAAAAAATAAAAAGAATATGGGGCTGGAGACATAGCTCAGCGGTTAAGGGCACTGGCTGTTCTTCCATAGGTCCCAAGTTCAATTCCCAGCTACCACAAGATGGCTCACAACCATCCTTGCTGAGATCTGGTATCCTCTTCTGGCATGCATGCATATACATGCATGCAGAACACTGTATACATAATAAATCTTTAGAAAGAATAATTCTAACGTCAAAGTTAATATTAAAAAATAATTCTTCAGGGGCTGGAGAGATGGCTCAGAGGTTAAGAGCGCTGACTGCTCTTCCAGAGGTCCTGAGTTCAATTCCCAGCAACCACATGGTGGCCCACAACCAACCATCTGTTATGAGATCTGGTGCCCTCTTCTGGTGTGTAGATATACATGGAAGCAGAATGTTGTATACATAATAAATAAAATTAGAAAAAAAAAATGCTTCAGTTTAATCCCAGCACTTGGGAGACAGAGGCAGGTGGATCTCTGTGATTTTGACACCAGCCTGGTCTACAAGAGCGAGTTCCAGGACAGCCTCCAAAGCCACAGAGAAACCCTGTCTCAAAAAACAAAATAATAATGCATCAGTAGTTGTCATGTATGAGTGTATGGATGCACGTACCGCACTTGAATTTTTCAGCATTTGGAAACTCAGGTCTATCTCGTAGCATTTTTCACTAATGTTTGCCGTCAGTTTCAGTTACAGTGTGTGAGGAGCACCTCTGGTTTTGCGCATTGCTCTTTATTCGGCTTAGAGCAGAGCCTATGGTGAAGTAGGTGTCAGAAATTGTTAAATGAGTGAATGAGTATGTGTGGTGGCCTCAGAAAACTTGAATGAACTCCAGCAAAAGACAATAGTAAAGATGAAATTTCTCCTACGCAACAAAATAGTTACTAGCTTTATGTTTTTCCACAATATCGGCTACTGTACACTATGAACATATATTTCTCATTCTTTTTTTTATTTTTTTGGTTTTTCCAGACAGGGTTTCTCTGTAGCTTTGGAGCCTGCCCTAGGACTTGCTGTGTAGACCAGGCTGGCCTGGAACTCAGATCTGCTTGCCTCTGCCTCCTGAGTGCTGGGATTAAAAGTGAGCACCACCACCTCCCAGCCCTCACATAGATTTTAAAACACCTTCCATATAGACAAGTAAATGTCCTCACATATCTGGCAATCTTCTCCCCAGTATTACTCTCAAGTAGTAACCACCATTAGCAATTTTTTGGAATATCAATGCTTATACAAATATATGTACAAATTTCATGTACGTGTGCAATGTATATATACTATGGTGCAGCTAACTTTTCCTTTTCATAAATATGATAAATATCTTTCCATTTCACTATATAGAGCTGACTTTTTTTTTAAAGCAATGAGTCTTTATTGTTTAACGAGTTAATTTTTTTAAAGATTTTATTTATTTATTATGTATACATCATTCTGCTTCCATGTATATCTGCACACCAGAAGAGGGCACCAGATTTCATAACGGAGGGTTGTGAGCCACGATGCGGTTGCTGGGAATTGAACTCAGGACCTTTGGAAGAGCAGTTGGTGCTCTTAACCTCTGAGCCATCTCTCCAGCCCTCTAGAGCTGACATTTTTATAGCCAGCATGATATTCAGTGTTCAGGCAGATGTATCAGTTTATTTAATCAATTTCCAATTTTTCACTTTTGACAACAGCACACAATAATAATAAAATTAAAATTCAGCCATGCAGTGGTGGTGCATACCTTTAATCCCACTACTCAGGAGGCAGAGACAGGAATCTCTGGGAGTTCAAGACTAGCCTAGTCTGAGCAGTGAGTTCCAGGACAGCCAGGGCTATACAGAGAAGCCCTGTCTCAATAAATAAACAAACAGAAGGAAATCCAGAAAGGTGAACTGAGGGAAGTCATTGTCCTCACACTTAAAATAGTCAAGCAATTTGCTACCAATTATTTGAAGTGATTTAATAATAACCGAATGATGGTTTATTATTGAAATTAAGTGTCCTTGAAGAGTTCATTATACTGAAAAGCTTATTTCCTGTAATAGATTTTCAGATAAGATCTTTGTTACAGGCAAGCGGTGGTGGTGGTGGTGGTGGTGGTGGTGGTGGCAGCAGCAGCAGCCTTTAATCCCAGCACTTGGGAGGAGGGGAGGAGAGGAGAGGAGAGGGGAGGGGAGGAGAGGAGGAGAGAGGAGAGGAGAGTCTCCTTCAAGAGTGCACCTCCACTGACCTAAAGACCTGATAGGTTGTTTGGTTGTTTCTTAGATGCTGGTGGATTGATGTTGTGGTCTACTTGACAGGACTGAGAATGGCCCAAGAGCCATGCCTTTGGGTGTATTTGTGAGGATGTTTTCAGAGAAGTTGAACTGAAGAAAGAAGAGTACCCGGAATATGGATGGCATCATCCCATGGAGGAGGTAGGGGGCGGGGAAGCAGAATAAATACTGAAGAAGGAGAAAGTGAGCTGAGCACCAGCATTTATCCCTGACTGTGAGGCAATAGGGCCAGTTGCTTCACACTCCTGTTGCCACAACTTGAGCCATTTTTGCCATCATTCTTTCTCCGAAATAGTGGATTGTACCCTCAAAACATAAGCCAAAAGCCAAGCACTGGTGGCCCATGCCTTTAATCCCAGCACTTGGAAAACAGAGGCAGGCAGGCGGATCTCTGTGAGTTCAAGACCAGCCTGGTCTACAGAGTGAGTGCCAGGACAGCCAGGGAAACACAGAGAAACCTTATCTCCAAAAACCAAACCAAAACAAACCCATAAGCCAAAATAAATGTTTCCTTAAATTGTTTTCCTTTGGTCCTCTGGTACTTTGTCTTAGTAATGGAAAAGTACAACCACTTTCCAGTATTGCCAACGTGGGGACCAAGCCTCTAACACATGGGGTTTTGGAAGACACTTGAGATCCAAACTATTATAGCTTGCTTGCTTTAAAAACAAGGAAAAAGATACATGGACATCTAAGTTAACTAATATTTCCCAATGATTGTGACTCCAGACTCACAATCATGCCAGCCAAGCATGCTGAGGAAATGGTAGGATGTGACGATAAACTGTGGGAGCAGAGAGGAGGCAGACTGGACCCTAGTGGTGAAGAGAATGCAGCCCTAGTGACTCATGGGAATTTGAGAACAAGGAGAAGAGAATGATGATATTTTGCTTTTGTTAAATTTTTTTTTTTTTTCAGGGTTTCTCTGTATTTTTTTGGAGCCTGTCCTGGAACTCACTCTGTAGACCAGGCTGGCCTCAAACTCACGGTGATCCTCCTGCCTCTGCCTCCCCTGCCTCCCGAGTGCTGGGATTAAAGGCGTGCACCACCAACCCCCAGCCTTTTGTTAAAGTTTTAACCATTATTTATTTGGATGTGTATGGGTATTTAATTGCTTTTATGTTTCGTGCCCTTAGTGCAGTGCCAGCAGAGGCTGGAAGAGGATGTCAGATCCTCTGGGACTGGAGTTAAAGGTGGTTGTGAGCCATGTGGGTGCTGGAAATTGAATCCAGGTCCTCTGGGAGGGCAGCTAGTGCTCTTAACTGCTGAGCTACCTTCCCAGGTCCTTTTCTATGAAATTTTAGGTAACATTTAGCTACCTTTGTCCATCAGAATTGTAAAACTGAACTCCAAGAGACAAGTTGGGACCACAGAGAGGCTCGTAGACAAATGCTGATTAGGGTCTCTGGCTAAGGGCTAATATAATAGCAGTGGCCTGGGATTAGTACCACAGTGTGTGCAGACATCTTACAATAGCCAGCCTTGGAAGCACATAGTACTTATGTACTATAGTACATAGTTACATAGTTACTATGATAGTTACATAGATGGCACTATTGCAGCTTTTAATTAAACAATAGGAAAAATATGTACACTAAACTAAGTATGATAAGCACAATTCATTTACTTCAAAGCAGAAAAATAATCCTAAAAATTCAAGAATCCTATCTTGTCAGTGTAGTGATCCCCTCCACCTTTGGTCTGAACTACCCCGTAATTGTTAGGTTTCACAGCAAGACAGACACCTGGCAATCTTATGAAAATTAAAAACAAACAAACTAAAAAAATAAAAACAATGAACTCAAGGAAAAACTCTCTCATACTTGTGGAAATACTAAGGAGGCATTTTGATACATGAGTCAGAAGTTCAGAGGTGAGATTAGGGCTTGAGTGTCACTGGCATAAGAAAGTAATTTAAAGCATGACAGGAGTGAGATCATCAGGGAAAGAATATAAATAGAGAACACGAGAAAGCCCAGTACAGGGGCCCTGGGACACTGGAAACTTAAGAGTTCCAGTGGAGGGTGAAAAGCTAGCCAAGGAGACCCCTAGAGGGAAAAACTGGAGAGTGTGATTTTCCAGAATTGAAATAAAGAGTTTCAGTGAGAAATGGGTCATTTGGATTGCATGCTTCTAAAACGTGACGTTTGATAATAGAAACAATCATTGGGGTTAGCAACATCAAGGCCACTGGTGTCCTCCCACGGTCTCAGTAGCACAGCCGTGGTGGCTGCTTATTTGAAGAGGGCAGATGTATTAAGGTGAGAAGGCAGCCGTGTATTAGCAGGTATCGAGGAATGTCAGGAGAAAGGACTGCTTTTATAAGTGGGTGACATTATGTGACTAGACATGGACATTATGTGGCCTTATGATTTCAGGAGACAACTCTTCAAAACAACTCCTTCCCAGAATAGAAATGAAGCCTTTGATTGGAACAAGAACACTTCATCTGTTAAGACAGAAGAGAAGGCAGGTATTGACAGAGGAAGTCACGTGCAGCCTGTCCACCATCCCATGGCTATGCAAGAGTGTGCTTTGGCTGAGCATAGAACATTTTATTTTACACAGATTCACAAAGTCCCCACAGCCTGTGCTGGGAATATCACTGTGTTTGGCAATAACTTTCCCTGTTCTAGGGTTTATGTGCACTTCTCTATTCTGCATTAAGAATGTGCATCCTCCAGAGACCCACAGCCAAACATCAGGCAGAGCTCCAGGAACCTCAAGGAAGAGGGGAAGGAAGGATTGTAACAGCCAGGGGGGTTGGGTCAAGGACACCAGGAGAACACAGTCCACAGAATAAACTAAGCAGGGCTGCAAGGGGCTCAGAGAGACTGATGTGGCAGTCACTGAGCCTGTATGGGTCTGTACTAGGTCCTCTGCATATATGCTATGGTTGTGTAGCTTGGTCTTCTGGTGGAACTCCTAACAGTGGGAATGGGGGCGGGTATCTCTGATTCTTTTGCTTTCTCTTGGAACCTTTAACCTCCTATTGGATTGCTTCATTCAGCCTTGAAGTGAGGATTTGTGCTTAGTCTTACAGTAACTTACGCTGTGTTTGGTTGATATCCCTGGGAGACTTGCTCTTTTAATGAAGGGAAACAGAAGAAGAATGGATCTGGGGCAAAGGGGAGTTGTGTGTTTGGGGACAGGGGCGAGAGTGCAGGGAGGGGCAACTCTGGTTGGGATGCAATGTATGAGAGAATAATAATAATAAAAAGAATGAGCATTCTCTTGCACTTGGTCAGTTTCACAGCTATATCTGTCGTTGGGCAGGAGAAATGAGCTCCTTTGGCCATGACCCAAAAGCGATACATGTAGACCATCACTCTGAGGTATATGGTAAGACCTGTTGGCCATGAGGGGACAATATTCACTGTTTAACTAATCTTTGTCTCTCTCATGTGAGGAAAGCAATGTTTATGTGAGCCATCACTTTCTTGGTGACTTTGATATCTATAATTCTTAGAGCGAATGACATAGTTGATCTGCTACTCCTGGTATTACTTGATGAACGGTTTGGCACAGAAACAGAGTCATCACAGCACAGAGGAATCACAGGTCCCAGCAGTCTGGCAATTTCAGGGTGGTGCCAGTTCCCTGAGGAGGTGTCAGGCTGGCCGAGATGCTGTCTTCCATCTGGTTGCATTGGGTAAATTGGATGTAGACCACCTCTCTGTCAATAAGGATAGACTAGTACAAGGCATGAGAATGAACCTATGAGAGGTGGCCGGGTGTTCGTGGCACACACTAACCCCAGCACTCGGGAGGCAGAGACAGAACTCTGAGTTCGAGGCCAGCCTGGTCTACAGAGAGAGTTCCAGGACAACTTCCAAAACAATGCAGAGAAACCCTGTCTCCAAAAACCAAAAAAGAAAAAGAAAAGAAAATAATGAGAGGTGGCCTGGGTCTGGTGCCACACGCCTTTAATCCCAGTACTTGGGAGGCAGAGGCAGGTGGATCTCTGAGTTTGAGGCCAGCCTGGCCTACCCAGTGGGTTCCAGGACAGGCTCCAAAGATCCCTGGTTATGGAGCCAGTTTGGATAGTGCAGATAGCGTGTATTTTATCTGGGTATTCTTTTGGCCCCATTACTCAATATTGCCCAAAATATGACCATCTTTATAAGTGCCAAAGGTTATAAAACATGGAACTATACAGGCTCTGCTAATGGAAACTGCAGATCGATGCCAAGTGTGATGCACTTGGGAGGTTAAGACAGGAGGATTGCAAGTGCCGGGCATGGTGGCACACAGCTTTAATCCTAGCACTCAGAAGGCAGAGACAGAAGGATCTTTGTGAATTACAGTCCAGCTTTGTCTCCATATCAAGCTCCAGGACAGCCTGGCTACATAGAGAGACCCTGTCTCAAAAACAAAACATAAATGAACAAACAACAACAACAACAAAAAGAGGACTGAAAGTTCAAAGTTGGCTTGGTATACATAATGAGGGTCTGTTAGGGTTTGAATATGCAATGTCTCTCCCCAATCTCATGTTTTGTTGAGGTTCTGGCCCTCAGCTGTTGGTGCTATTGAGAGATAGAAGCACTAACCTCACCAATTGGTTATCCCACTTACAGCTGAATGGACTTTAAGGAGGAGGAAACTAGTTATAGGAAGGTGGTCACTGGCAGTGACCTGTGACCTGTGAAGGCACTGCAAACAACTTCTCTCTCTCTCTCTCTCTCTCTCTCTCTCTCTCTCTCTCTCTCTCTTTCTCTCTCTCTCTCTCTGTGTGTGTGTGTGTGTGTGTGTCTGTCTGTCTGTCTGTCTGTCTGTCTCTCTCTCCCCACTTCCTGGCTGCTTTGAGGTGAGTAGCCTCTTCTACTACATGCTGTACTATATGGATACGGTTCAGTTTAGGCCCAATTAAGCCAAGTGACCATGAACCAGTTCATCTGAAACCATGAGCCCAAATAAATCTTTCCTCCTCTTAAGTTGGCTTTCTCAGTTATATTGCCACAACAACTTTTATTCAAATGAATTTGAGCTGATAACAAGAAACTACTACATCAATATATTTATGCATAATACATTAATATGATGGTGGCGGCACATGCCTTTAATCCCAGCACTCAGAAGACAGAGGCAGGCAGATCTCTCTGTGAGTTTGAGACCAGCCTGGTCTACAAAGCAAGTTCTAGGACAGCCAGGACTACACAGGCAATCCTGTTTCAAAAAACAAAACAAAACACCCCTCCAAAACATTAATACATAAATGACCTGAGATGGCCACCAGATAGACAACCTTCAGATGGAAACTTTGCTTGCTATTGGGCCTTTCTGAAAATAGAGCACTCAACCATTGTGGCCTTAAAGATCTATATAACCTTAAATTCAATGCTGTCAATTAGCATATGGGCACCCATTCGTTCTATTAGTAAAACAATCAGAGCAAAACTCTGTCACTAAATACAATTCTACTTTCAAGATAGAGTCCTTCTGGGACCCCAAGAAGTTAATCAATTCCATTATTAAATAGCTGTCTTGCTGAAGGGAACTAACAACCTACAAGGGACATTTTTTTTTTTTTTTTTGACTAAATGGAACTCACAATTCAAAGATGATTTAGTTGATGGTATGGCTTGGTTCACAGACAAATCTTCAAATTTCAAGGGTAATGGAGTTTAAGGATCTGTCTTCCCTAAGTGAGCTGGCTAGTTTAATGTCAACTTGACCCAAGCTATAGTCATCTGGGAGGAGGGAACCCTAGCTTCAGCATTCACAATATTGGGTTGTAGGCAAGGCTATAAGGCATTTTCTTTCTTTTTAAATATATTTTTAATTTTTTATTTAAATTAGAAACAAGGTCGTTTTACATGTCAATCCCCATTCCTTCTCCCTCCCCTCCTCCCCTGCCCACCACTAACACTCTACCTATCCAATACCATTTCTGCTCCTCAAGGAGAGTGAGGCCTTCCATGGGGGGTTCTTCAGAGTTTGTCATATCCTTTGGGATAGGGCCTAGGCCCTCCCCCATGTGTCCAGGCTGAGGGAGTAGCCCTCTATGTGAAATGGAATCCCAAAGTCCATTCCTACGCTAGGGATAAGTACTGGTCTACTACAAGAGGCCCCATGTATTTCTGAGGCCTCCTCACTGACACCCACATTTAAGGGGTAGCATTTTCTTTTCTTTTTTGGGGGGGGTTTGAGGAAGGGTTTCTCTGTGGATTTAAGAGGCTATCCTGGAATTAGCTCTTGTAGACCAGTGTGGTCTTGAACTCACAGATTTCTGCCTGCCTCTGCTTCTGAGTGCTGGGATTAAAGGAGTGTGCCACCACCCCCAGGCTAAGACATTTTCTTAATTAGTGATTGATGAGGAGGGCCCAGTTCATTGTGGGTGGAGCCATCCCTGGGCTCATGATCCTGGGTTCTATAAGAAAGCAGGCTGAGTAAACCATGAGGAGCAAGTCACTTCCCCCATGGCCTCTGCATCAACTCCTTCCCCCAGGATCCTGTCCTGTTTGAGTTCCTGTCTACATCCTAAACAGTGGTGTGGAGTTGTAGGCCAAATAAACCCTTTCCTCTCCAAGTTGATTTTGTCATGGTGTTTCATTACAGCAACACAAATCCTAACTAAATCATAGCCAACTTCTGATTGAAACCAGTCTAGTACATTCTGCTTTGAGGGCCACATGCAATGTAACAATGATGTATATATAGGCTAGTTTCAATAGCAACTCACTGGTAGATATTTTGTAGATATGAGCTTCACATATGAGCTAATCATGTGGTTGATGATTAAGATTAATAAATAAAGCCGGGTGTTTGTGGCACATGCCTTTAGTCCCAGCACTCGGGAGGCAGACACAGGTGGATCTCTGTGATTTCAAGGCCAACCTGGTCTACAAGAGAGTTCTGGGACAAGCTCCAAAGCTACACAGAGAAACCCTGTCTCAAAAAAAAAAGGGACTCATAAAATGAAATTCACAAAACTAAGTAGCAAGTGCTCAGAGGATGGTCACAGTTGCCAGTTCAGCTCTCCATAGCATAAGACATAAAAATCCACCCCATGCACAAAAATGGACAGAATCATGAGGACTTAAAGAGATACAAGTCATGTGATGCCTATAGTAAGACCCAGGCATGTGACATAGTAAAAAAATCCAGAGTGTAATAACTGGGACATAGGCCTTATGTGAATGTGACAAATGAAGCCAGGAGCCTGACTGCTAAGTTACAAAGATTTCAGGAGTGCTTCAGGACAAGCATATACATTCCAGATATGGAACTGTCATTCCAGAGTACCACGTTGATATGGAAACCTCTAGTATTGCATCAAAAATCACTTCTGTCTTGCATTCAAATACTTAGCAGAATTCCAGTCAAGACCTGCATCTTCTTCACAGGTTACATAGCTATGGGCATGTTCTTGGTACATTAGACAGTGTTCCATTTTGCTTTCTGTTGCTGAAATGAACACCATGACCTAAAGAGATTTGGAAAGAAAGAATGTATTTGTCTCAAGTAAAAATCATCACTGGTGGAAGTCAGGGCAGAAACTCAAGCAGAGACTATGAAAGAACACTGCTTGCTTGCTGTCTGGCTAGTGCTCAACCCTCTCTCTCTCTGTCTCTCTCTCATTTTGAGATAGTGTTTCTCCATGTAGCCCTGGATGTACTGGAACTTGATCTGTAGACCACATCAGCCTCAAGCTTAGAGATCTGCCTGCCTCTGCCTTCCAAGTGCTGAGATTAAAGGTGTGTACCACCGGGCTGGAGAGATGGCTCAGAGGTTAAGAGCACTGACTGCTCTTCTAGAGGTCCTGAGTTCAGTTCCCAGCAACCACATGGTGGCTCACAACCATCTGTTATGAGATCTGGTGCCCTCTTCTGGTGTGCAGATATACATGGAAGCAGAATGTTGTATACATAATAAATAAATAAAATATAAAAAAAAAAAAAAAGGTGTGTACCACCACCACCAAGCCCCACTTTATTTTACAACCCATAGGCCCACTTGCTCTGGCTGGTCAATCTCTCATTCAAACTCTCTTCCCAGGTAATCCTAGGCTGAGTCAAGCTGACAATTCAAATTACCACACTATTTAAAATCAAAGAGTCAAGAGGAAATGCAACAGCTTACTTTACCAAGATGGCTCCTAATTGATACTTGACAGGTGCCCACTGAGATTCCCAACTGAAAAATCTCAACTGAATTCTCGATAAGTAAAGGCCTTGAAATCGGGCAAAATTTT